ACTTCACGTTTGTCTACGTCCACCTTTGCAAGTTTGGCTTCGATTTCTTGAATGTTTTCCTGGAATTCTTGATACYTGTCTTCCACGTGTAGTATTTCCACCCATGACATGTCAGTCATCATTTCCACATTGCGCTTTTCTACTTCTTGATTTGCCAGTGTGTAATCGCACTCTTGCAGGTAATCGTACTTCAATTCCCTTGAGTGATTACAACATGCAATAGTCACAACGTCATCCTCCTCTGTGGCAGTCGCGACCTCTTTCGTAATTAAGATTTCAGAAGCTTTTTGCTCGAAAAGAAGCTGATAACAGTTAATTGCATCTTCACCAACTTGCGAGAGAGCCTCTCCTACAGCCTCCAACACAAGTCTTTGCACAGCCATGTCTTGCATCATCAAGCGTTCTTTATAGGGATATTGTTCGTGGAGATTGCCTGTCAATGATTTCTCTTCGCTTTGTTTTCTCAACTGTCCTTGTAAGCTGGTGACAACTTCATTTGCTACAACAGACATGGCATTGTTTACAGCCTTGGCTACTATATTTTGCGCTTCGTTTTCGTAGCGAGTTGCGTGTAATTTCTCGGAAAGCCAGGAGTCCTCTTCATTCTTTATTTCTTGCTCTGAAGCGAACCACTCTTCAGCATTTCTTAATCTGGCATTCGCTACTTTTACTATAGCGCTAATTATTGCTTTGGAAACCATTTCTTGGGCAACTTTTTCATGGGATAGCTGGTGAAGCACACATTTGTACTGTGCAATCTCTTCATGCGACTGCTCTATATCTTTCTTTATGTTCAAAAACTGTYCCCGTACTTTTTGGAGGTTAGCTTCCTGTTCGATAATTTTTTCATCATACGAATCTTTAAGTTGTTTTATTTCACTAAAGTGTTCCTGTTGCAATTGTTGGTGTTGAGATGCTTCGTTCTCTGTCATGTTCTTATAAAACTCTGTGAGTTCTCGTTGAGACTGTAACTGTTCTTGCAATACGTCCATCTTCTGTGCRAGTTCCAGGGATTGCTCAGTCACTTTTTTGTTCTCAATTTCACTTTCCCCWAAAATTATTTGTAATTCAGTCAATTCCTGTTCTTTCTCGACTAATGAAACTCTTAAATTCTCAATTTCATCCTCTTCAATTTGGCATAATTGCTTCAATTGTTGTACTTCTTCTAGGAAGCATCCCTTCTCTTGTATGACACGTATTACATCATCAAGTACATTGATTGCATAGGAATCTTTCATACTCTCATTTGTCATTCCTGTTAATGCATTCTCTATTGCTTGCTCGGCAATCTTTCGTGCAATTCTTCCCTGGGCATCTAGACTCAATCTGTCAACGAGCTCTTGGTAAAGTAACTCGAAGTCATGCAGTTTTTCTTGATCAGATTTTCTCATTTCCTTTTCCATGATCAAAAGATTGCTGAGACTATGAATTTGATCTTTCAATTCTTCCTCTTGTTTATCGACGTCTTTGATTACTTGTAATGATACAGAAAGGTTGTTCATTCCACGGTCTATATCTTCCATCGTTAATTCAGTTAGGGAATCCATTTCGCAATTCTCGACATGATGTGTGTTGCATTCAATGTCGTGCTTCTCTACAACATTAGTATTACAGCTTCGGTCGCAGAGTTCACTAGCGCTTTTCAGTGCGTTTTCATGGAGTTCTTCTAGTTGTCTCCCCATGTTTTCCAGTGTAAGAATATCACGATAAGTAAAGTCCGTAGAAGTAGACCTATCAACCATTTTCATGCTTAACTTTGCAAAGCCCTCAAAGCTTTTCATGTTTACTACGAATTCTTTGTAGGTTTCTTCAACCTCGATTATATCATTCCAAACAAAATCTGTCATGGCCTCACTATCCTCTTTACTTATATCGTCTGTATTCGTGCTTTGAGTAAGAAACTCTCTACTATTGTCTTGCGAGAACTTTTCATAAACACCTTCCATTTGACACAGGTCAGCATTGATTAGATCTGTTAGAGAGCTGTTATCCTTGACCTGCTTTTGCTCAAAATTATCGTGGAGTCGGAAGAAAGCAGAATCACTTTTACTTTGATTTGCGATTTCATAGTGGTCTTTCTTACAAAARCTTTCCAGCTCTAAAAGGTCACGTAATGGCTCTGGTTGGTCCACCTGTGACTCGTATTGTCTGGGTATTGTTTCTCTCTAAGGTAGTGAATGGAAGAGTGTCACTTTCTGTCAGTGAATGTTACTGTTATTGAGATGGCGATTAATATAAGCCTTGGTTAAATGAGTCGCTGTTACTTTGATAAAGTGTTATACCAGCATTATCATTAATCAATCATCATCAATCGTCATAAAGCACTGTCTTCCAAATACAGTCAAATCAACCATTGGTATACCATTGACGTGAGGCAAAAACAAAGGAAATGTGCAGAATGCTTAGCGCATGCATGATTTAGGTGTCTTCTAACACACCAAAAGCTACGGCTCACCAGTTTRTCAGTTAGCATCATCATTATAAACAACCATTATGCAATTCTTGAAACAGCCAAGCATGATCAAAGCCATGTATGATATGAGGCATGCATGATATAAATGAGCAATGTTTGCATGCATATATGATTTTTAATGCAGTTAAATTTTATACATAAACGAAATTAACAACAGGCAATAGAACTGATTGCAATAGGATAATCAAATCTTCACAATCATTATAGATTCATTGTTTAGCCCCTCGTTAGAATTGCAGTATATCGCAAAAATTACAATCTATGGTGCTTCCCAAAAAATTGTAATGATACAAAAGCAATATAATATATTACATACCCTTTCTTCAAGATCTTTAACTTTTGATCTTAAGATCGCTTCTGTAGCTTCAAGGTGACTGATTTTCTAGAAACAGAGCAAGAAAACAAGTCATTGATACACCCATCACATTACATGATACATGCTTACCACATAAACCGAAAGTAGCTTAGGAAATGAAAAAAATTGTTATTGAATTTAACAAGAAGCAAAAAAATGTCCTTTTTCTACAGACAAGCAATTTTTCTTAAATTCAGGTAAATGGAATCCATGGACATTTGCCATCTTAACTCCTTTAGGGCCCTGAGGTCTCGTTTCCGTTTCCTATTTTTCTGATTGTTTTTTCAGTTCTGGCTAATGCCGTAAGCATGTATGAGGTTAGCAGTTTACTTACCTGTGGCATTGAAGTGAGGCTAGTTCGTGCTTGTCTCAGAGCTTCAACCTGAACATCACTGAATACATCCGACTGCAATATTTYAAAAAATGGTTTGTTAAGTCTAAAAAGATTGATAAAAAAGAAAACTCGTCACTGGCGACGATAATAACCTAAGATCCAACTTACTTTTTCAGTTTCTAGTTGTTCTAGCTGGGCCTTCACTTCTTCGAGAGATAGAGGCAGTTTCTACACAAACCAGAAAAAATGACATTATTTAAAAGTAAACAAGGAGATAACGATGCCAATAGCTGAACTACACACCAGGTGTGTAGGACAGTTCAGGTTAACTGTCTTTCAAACAGTTGGAAAACCGTTTTATATGATTATCGATTTGCTTACCTTGTCATCTTTGACTTTACGAAGTGGTAACTCATCTTCTGAACCAGCGAACTAAAACAAAACAAGGATTTATGCTATAACAACAGGCTGAAATTATCGCATTATTTACCAAATACTCATAATCTTTGATTTAGATTGTACCCCKTGGGTTTCAGCGGATTGTCAGGCAACACTGCCCTGTAGGAAAACTAATCAAGGAATGTGCACCCAATCTAACCACCCAAATGTTGATCTCAGCCAATAAGCTTCCAAGGACCTCAAGGAMCCCAGCAAAAACAAAAGAGCAAAAAATGATGTCATTACAATAGCCCAACAAATTTGTAGTTTTTCTGATAAAATGCTATGCYTGTATTCCCAAAATGCACAAGTRAATTTACATTGAGAAAATGAGTCCTGCATTCTCCACCACATTTCTATTCGATGGTTGCTTTACATTTCATTAAAAAAATCAGTTGTTGTGCTCCAGTTCATTAAAAAATAAGCCCTCCTAGAACCCTTTACATTCCTGCTAACAACCTATTCAATAGACACTAATCCTTACGTACAGAAAGCTGGGACATTTCTTCCAATTCAAATTCTAAAAGATCTTTCTTATCCTGAAGATCTTTCAAGTCCTTCAAAAGAAATGACAATAAAAAGCTTGTTAGAATGCAATTTTTGGTTGAACTTCTTATTAATTACACAACGAACTCGCTGCAATCAATCTGAGAATATGTTGTTGTATATTCATAACTTATGAGACAACTGAAAAGAAAGTGGAAGGAAAATAAGAATGACACACAACTATCAAATCCGTTCTTCTCACCTCTGTGTTCTTTGAGAGCTCACTTAGCACTTCATCTCGTTCTGTCTCGGCAGCAACAAGCTGCAATAAACAAACATCACCAAAAACATTCATTATAGTGAAAATGATAATAATCTCAGATATTTACATTAAATAGCATCATTTCGAAAATTCACAAAACTGAACCTTTTGATAGAGAACTTGGTTATCTCGCTGCAATTCTTGTAGTTCTTCTGTACCGCCCTGTGCAGAAAAACATTAATTATCATTATCACTATCTCCAATACTACAGGTGGTTGTTATCATTCTAATAACTGCAGGCTCACCCACCCAAGGTTTTGTGCTAAAGATTTCTTGGTAGTTTATTGAAGTTTATATAAAAAGAAGGAAGTAATATAAAAATTAGGTAAAACACTAATAGCGGAGCTCCCAAAAGATAAAGATGGGATGCAAGACGCAGTGGTCAGACTACATATGTTTTGTTAAGACTAAAACTATTTTTGCTAACAAAAAAACTTTCATGGCACTACATTAAACGTTTCCTCTTCAGTAAATTCATATTTTCCTAGATCTACATTGTATTCCACTGTGGWATGGACTACTGAAAAACATTAAGAGCTCTAAAAGTTTATCAGCCTTCAAGAATCTCCTCAGCATTTCTAAGCAAAAAAGTAAATTCAGAATGAAGAAACGCAACCAAAAATATGCTCCATGGTCCCTGCAGGTTTAAGTATCTGATGTGTAAGGAGGTGGGAACTAGCGGTAAACTAGTGTGAGCTGCATCGGTGTTTCTAAAGAAGGAGTTGGAATTATTGTGGACCTTTAAATATTGCTATGAAATTACCTGTGTTTAACTAGTTGAACACTATCTAGTATTCATATTACCTGCAGGTTACTGTCCATCATTCTTTCCAACTCATGTATCCTAGCCTGGCTCTCTATCAAGTCAGACTGGAGTTGTTGGCGCTCCTAAACAAAAACACAATGATACATGTATCAAAATTGTACCAAAAGAAATTATTCTAACAAAAAAAAAAAAATAAAAAAACTGAAGAAGAGTTTGATAATTAGCTGAGGGACTCATTTTGTATCCATATCTTGACACAGAGTTGTAATTCCAAGCATTAAAAATATCACACCAAAAGTGTAAATTTTTATCATCTATATCATATATTTATGAACTATTAGTTATTTACTCTATGAACTATAAAAACACCTGATGTATAAATAACTTCCCCCTCGTTTCTCAATGATTTTTTTGCTTTTAAAATAATAGATTAAAAAGAACTGGTAGTGACAATTTGAGAAGGGTTTGTCATACAACTTCCATAAATATTATATGGTTGTGCATGTACTGCGCTGATGTGCACATAGAAGGCGCTGATGTCCCAATTATGTGGAGAAGAACTTAGAAAATTTCAAAGACCTAAACTTAAACCGAAAAGAAATTTTTGAAGAACGAGTACTAAGATTCGAACCAGCGCTATGCATTGCCTAACCCAATATATTCCCTAAACCTAACCATTAAGCCACGAGACCAATTCGCTTGAGTGAACCTGAATTTTTGTGATATTTATGTAACGGCATGCATGAATAACCACGCATATGCACATAAGATTGAATATATAATTAATGAACCGTCTATAGGGACATGAGAGCCTTCTCTATAGGTACATTAGAGCCATGCATATGGACATCCATATATGGAAGTCGTAYGACAACCTCTACTCGACAATTTGGGGTTAGATTAAAACCTTAGTTATTGAATAAACCCATCTCACAGAAATTCACAACAAACATGTACAAGGCAAGTTTGGGCTAGTCAAATTAAAACCTGAAAGTGGAACTTATTAGTTTATCTTTAGTTAGCTAGATTTATGAAATTTGCAAATTATAAATAATCATCCTCTCAGTACAATTTTTCTTACCAATTCATCTCTCTCTACATCAACAGTACTACCCACTTGTGCTTGCAAGATTGCATAGGCTCTCTCTAAAGCTAGCAGTTCTTTTGTCAGTTTCTTGATCTTGTTCACATCAGAATTCGAATCAGATGACTAGAAAATACAACAAAGTTTATCATTTTTGAATGATTTAAAATCTAAATGAAATAAAAATAAGAAAATACACAAAATAATTATAAAATTTTGAGAAACAAACAACCTCGTTTAAGTCATTTACAAATTCAAACACAGTTCTCATTGGAGTTTTATCTTAATTTGGATGATGAAAATTATATCCTTCTGTATCAGTGACAGTAAGTTGCTTAAAAGTAAGACATTTGATGAACTCCTCTTAAAAAGCCATGTTGAATGATCAGAGATACCAAYAGTATCATCTGATTTTACAATTAAGGTTACACAAGAAAAACAATACTTTAGATTAAGCAATTAAGGAAGTCAACCAACTGATCCAGTTAGCACACTAGGACATCATAATCATGAAAACCTACCTACAACTGATACTCATGAAACAAAAACATTGAAAATAAATAACCAAGCAAGTAGTAGATACAGAAGAATTTCATATTGACATGTCTCTGTAAACACAAACTAATTATATTCATGGTTTATCAACTACTTGAAATACATACACACATCCTTCTCAATGATGTGAATCAAGAATATCCCTGGATCATGTAGGGATATAGGATTATTCACATACTTTGAAAAATAACATTCTAACAATGAYTTATCAGCCTTAGATTTCTTACTAGATTAACTTAATAATTCAATCTATAGCACTAATAGCAAAGACTGTTTACACAAGAACTAGACTAGGATCTCTAAGTAGTAGTAACTGTCTAGACAAGCCATTCACTTTATATTCAGAGTGTAAAAAAGCACCTGCCTAACAACAGTTTTGAACTGAATCTGGTGTATACAGTTGAAGGATTTTTCCAGGAAGGCGTTATCAATGTATACATACTTACAATCTCTGACAGATCACTGACATCTGAAACAACAGATGAGATATCATCTTGATCAGGCTGCAATCCTGCATCAATTACACTGCGCCCCTTAGGTAGAAAAGGTAAAAGTTATGTCAATGCAAACTTGTAATTATTGGCAGACTCATGTACGTCTTGCAATTGATCAAAGAAAGAAGGGAAATTATGAAAACATAATATAGTTTATTAAGTTAAACATATTACAAATGGAGGGACTATCCATATTATAAGAAATCATTTTACAAACACATTTTTGAGTGACTGCTTTAAAGTTTGCATATTTTATGAAGCCTAACTGATGTCATATCATTTGCACATAGAAAGATTTTATAACTCAAGACAAAACATTGATTATAGAAATAAAGGAATATTTGACCATTCATATACAAGGTATAAAGAAGTTCATTAATCTTGATTGTCAAATAACTTATTGTAAGTAATATATACAATATGAGCGGGCGATCTGTATGAGGATTTAAAACAGCGAGCTGAAAGCGAGCTGTTTTAAACCTCATACAGATCGTGCGCGAATATTGTATATTACTTATGAAACGTCGAGGTAAACTAGCTCAGGTTTTAAAGAAACTTTTGAAAAAAAAATCAATCTGACCAAGAAAATCAGAGTTAAAGTTTATGCAAATGAACAAGAAATCTGTATGTAATATACAACTCTCTTCATGGGCTATGATTTCTATTGTGTTTTGCCTTATGAATATTAATGAGTTTTATAAGTTATTTGATTCATTATTCTGTTGAACTCAAAATCAATATTATTTCACAGTTATTGGAAGTGACCAAATACGTAATGTGTCAATCACATTTRGAACTTCATAGTCTCATTCACAGCTTTCTGTACCACCTTGAACTTAGGTAACCATGCCTTTGCATCAAAGCAAGACAACAAATGCTGCAAAAGGTGATTGAAAAATATGACCACACCTTTTTCAGCTCACTTTCTCAAAGCTTAGGATAAAATGTCTTACCAATTTTGGTTTCTTTCCAGTTTTCTTCCTTTCCTTCAAAAGATCAATTCGTCTTTCTTTTTCCTTCAAATAAAAATGTCATAATMATTATTTCCTCATGCTTTTACTTATCAGATTCAATCAATTCATGGAATTCATTTGTATTATGCACACACATCTGGCAACTTTCAAAAATGTTATCATTTTTTCACCTCTCTGTTTGTATACTAGAAAAGTTCTTGTTSAATCTCTCCTTACCTCTTAGTTGAAAATTTAAACTTAGACAAGTAAATGCTAGTTAAAATCCATATCAATACAACATGTCCGTTCATGTAAACATTCCTCAAAAGGAAAGTCATGTTCAATTCTGAACTTTTGAGAATAATCATCTCAAATAATTACTAGCCTGCGCTCCTCCTCGTCCCCTCACCTTCCGTTTTCCCCCTCCCCCCTCCCCTAGAGCCACTCCCCTTCCATTTCCCACTCCCCCCTCCCCTAGAGCCGCTACCCTTCCGTTTTTTCCCTCCCCCCTCCCCTAGGGCCGCTACACAGGATAAATAATTACATATTATTGATAACTATGAATTAATACTTGTTGCACAATTACCTAAAGTTTCCATAATTTTAGCCCCCATCAAATTACATATGATAACATATCAAAAATAATAAATAATCTTTGGACTTTATAGGCATCAGTGAAAATATAAGCAATGTACATCCAACAATGCTCACTTGCAGTTAACTTTTTATTTAATGAGTAAAAKAATTCCACCATGCATTATTTACCTCATTTATCATATTTAGGGGAAGTTGATCTAGAATTGCAGATCAACCAATAACAGTTTTCTTATATGCAAGATCCCTTTTTAACACTATCTGGAAAGTTTTTGACAAGAACGTTGGGAAGTTGGTCCTCAATTATATTACTAATTCAAATAATAAATTAAGTACTTATAATGACATCCTACCAAAAGGTTCTGTTTAAGTTCTTCAATAGTCTTTGCATGGTCCTTGATTTGGTCTTTCAATGCTACAACCTCTGCATTTTCTGATGAACCAGTAGTTTGTCCTCTTGAACGTACAGCTTTCTTGCCATCTTTACTAGTACTGGCTGCTCCATTTTTCTTTTTCTGAAACACATCATTTTGAAAATATCACAAATTTAAAAAAAATGTATTATAAACTAAATGTGTTAATGAATACAGAGTAATGTGTAATTATTAAATTCAAAAAGTAATTGGCATTTTTTTATTTAATGGAACAAAGTAACATGATGTGGCATGGCATACATTGTACGTTAAGTTACCCACCAATGCATTTATCTCATCCAGTAAAACTTTATTCCTGCTTTCAAGTTTTTTGACATTTTGATTCAAGTCCAAGTTTTTCTTCTCTAGTTTTCTATTCTTGTCTCTTGCTTCTTTTTCACATCGCTCAAGCTCTGACACCTACAATAAAAMAAACTGCTGTAATACAAGATATTATAAAATGATTTCAAAACTCATGCAAGTAGTCCAAAGAGAACCTGAAGACTGTGACTAATTTCAAGTAGTTCACGAGCTGAAAACCTATTAAAAACAACTTTTTCATTACACATGCAGTGGTGCAAGATTTYATTTAGACTACAAGGTTGATATAATTATATTAGATTGTGTCTGCAAGTCGAAGGACTGAGGGGTACTGCTTAGAGCACTTASAAATCAAAGTCAATGGAGCTTAACAAAAAAATTCAATTGAAAGCACTCCTCAGCTGCCTTCTTGAAATCTCAAGGCACTGCACTTGGACAAAAATTGAGATCCTGGTTTGAGAATACCATGATTTAATTATTTATATAATTAAAGAGATTGTTTCTTACCAGTTCTGTGTTCCTTGTTGCTAGCTGCTGGTTTCTTTCATCAAGTTTTTTCACTAGTGAACTAAGCTCAATGTTTTTTCTTTGCAGTGTTCGTATTTCCTGATTGGCATTATGATACTTTGAATCCTGTGATATACAAAAAATAAAAAAATCTGGTTATTATTCAAAGAGGGACTAAAAAGTATATAAAATGTTCCCAAACCTAGCCACACAAAGGTCCATACTAAAATTGATATTTTGAAGTTTGAACCTGTTTATTTTTAACAATATTATTATACTAAACTGTTTAGCATTGGATTAGATACATATTTCTGATATGCAAAACAATCAATAAGATCAATACAGTGTAATCAGCTGAGGCTGAATCCTGCTAGGTAGTAAATCTTCTTCAACAAACAAAAAGAACTTTGAGTCAGTTCTTATCAGAAGGCCAAGTATCAGACTGGTATAAGAAGGATATTTGACGAAAGAAGGSTTWGRMTYYKA